CACACACACACACACACACACACACACACACACACACAACAGACACGCACTTACACACCATCAGCGTGGCGCAGCAGCTGTTTTCTGCAGCTTTTTTGTTTGTTTTGTTGTGTATTTTTTTTAAACCTTTTTCCTGCTTGGTTGTGTAGTCATGTGTGAAAAATCAGAAAGGGAGAGGAATAGGTAGAGAGATAGGTAAAGAGGAGGTGTTTAGGGTGTTGGTAACCAGGGGCAACCAGTTAAAATGTTTTATTTTGGGTTGTTTTTTTGTTGTCTGATTTGCGTAAAGGGGGAAAAAAAAGTTGTGAGTCGTGGAAAGAGTTGTGAGGGTTTTTTCTGCCCCGGTCTCTCCCAGCTGTTCCTGTGACGTCACGGGGAAGGGGGAGGGTCTCCTTTTGGGGTGATTTACCGGCCTCCCCAGGGGGGGGGGGGGGGGGGCTAGAGTGATGTAAACACGGATAAAAATGTGGCCAGGTTCTCGGGGACCTCAGTCTGGAGAAACGAGTTTAAGCTTTCACTACAAAAGCCTCTGCTGCTGATTTTTAATTAATTTTTTTGTGGATCTACCTCTGTTATTCAAACCTCCAGCTGCTGTAGACGCCGCACTACTCGGACTAGTTGATCTGGATTTAAACCATTTTGGGCTTTCGTTGGCTTTTTTTCCGCTCACCAACCACTACCTCCTGATTTTATTATTATAAAAAAAAAAAAACGACAACATTTCTCTGGATTTTGTCCTCAGATTCCGCCATCAAACATGTTACCCAGTTCTGCTCAGTCTCCGGACTGGCTTTACTCCGAGCCGCTGCTGTTCGACGAGGACTTCTGCCAGACCCTGATGAAAGACCTCCAGTCCCTGCCCACCCCCCCGCAGTCCCCCCCCATGAAGGCCGGGCTGGGCGAGGGCAAGCCGCTCTCCCAGGAGGACCAGCTGAGCTACGTGTCGGACATCCTGCTGGAGGACCAGGACATGCAGCATCTGGGCTGGACGTCCGACTTCTTCCACTCAAAGGAGGAGGATGAGGAGGAGGGGGAGGTTGAGGGGGGGGCCGGGGGGGAGGACTGCCTGTGGCAGTGCCTGGTGACGGACCGCAGCCTGGAGGAGAAGCTGGTCTCCTCCATGCTGGGCTGCAGCCCCCTGCTGTCCGACATCGACACCAGCATCTTCGAGGAGATCGCCGGCTCCACGCTGGACTGCCAGAACCTGCTGGCCGCCGCCGCCGCGCAGGACGCCGGCGAGGCCACGTCCGACTACGGCTCCACCGGGGGCGAGATGTCCACATACTCGTCCAGTGACTCCGGTGAGTGGAGACCGGAATCTGCCCGGACTTTAATCCCTCTGTGTGTGGTCATGTGTGTGTGTGTGTGTGTGAATCCCTCTCTCTCTGTGTGTGTGAATCCCTCTCTCTCTCTCTGTGTGTGTGTGAATCCCTCTCTCTCTCTCTCTCTCTCTGTGTGAATCCCTCTCTCTCTCTGTGTGTGAATCCCTCTCTGTGTGTGTGAGTGAATTCCTCTGCGTGCGTTTGTTTTCATGATATATCAGGACAATTTTGTGAATGCACGCCTTAAATATCAGGACGTGTAGAAATAGGAGGACCCTTTTCATGTCCTCATTTTTCTGAGTATACTAGAGTGTTCTAGAAGCCCCAAAATACCTCTAAACCAAATATCTCTATAGTTCTAAGAACCTTTGGAAAGCCACCTAAACATTTGTCCTATTTCTGTCATGTGTCCTCGTATATAATGAAAACGCATATGTGTGTGTGTGTGTGTGAATCCCTCTGTGTGTGTGTGTGTGTGTCTTATCAGAGCGACCGGCCTCCGTCCGATCAGAAGCATTGATAATTCATTAATGTTTGGCGCTCGGCCCCCCTCTTTTGACCCCGGGGGGGGGGGGGTACAACTGGCTGCTTCCAGTAAACACGATAGTGGTTTCACGATGGTGGTTTCACGCTCGGTTGTAGCAGCTGTTCCCTCGTTTATTCATCAGAGATGGAATGAAGTCGTCCTGCTGACAGGATCAGACTGTTGTCGTTCTTTGTGTTTAACCTTTTGTGCGACTGAAGTTGTTTAGTAGTTTATCTCCAGCTAATTGACTTTAGTTTATATTTAACAAACTTACTAAGTTCCACTATGTGAACTTTAAACTAACTTAGCTGATTTATTTTTATTACATTTTTATATTGTATATATATTTTTCTATGACTTTGATGTCATACGAGTCAAATATTTGATAGAATTTTACTTCATATGTTGGAAAATTCCTATTTAGGCAATTGGAAATGGAGGTTTTGCCCTATATGGAAACTATTCTGCATGTCTGATTTTGTGAGTTGAGTCCACGTGGTGTGTTGTGTACAGTGTCCCCCCCCCCTCCCCCTTTGATTATGTCACCTTTCACACACTGACCTTCCTGTTGTTGTTGTTTCTCCCGCTAACAGAGGAGGAGATCGACGTGGTGACGGTGGTGCGGTGCCCCTCCCGCCTCTCGCCCTCGCCGTCCGACTCCTCGTCGGCACGGAAACGGCGCCAGCAGCAGCTGGAGGAGGAGCAGCGCGCCCTGCAGCGCCACAGCTTCGAGATCCAGCTGCAGCACAACTACGCCGCGCCCTGCCCCGCCTCGCTGCCACCCCCCCCCTCCTCCAAACGCTCGCGGGGGGGCGACCCACGCCCGCACCACGCCTCCCGCAGCTCCTCCTGCTCCTCGTCCTCCTCCTCCTCGCGGTACCACCACCACCACCACCACTCGTCCAGGAACTCGGCGGAGACGGAGGACGAGGAGGAGCGGCGGCGGACTCACAACGTGATGGAGCGCCAGCGCCGCAACGAGCTGAAGAACTGCTTCGTGCGGCTGCGCGACAACGTGCCCGAGCTGTCGCACAACGACAAGGCCTCCAAGGTGGTCATCCTCAAGAAGGCCCGGGACTGCATCTACGGCCTGGAGGGCGAGGGCCACCGGCTGCAGAGCCGCAGGGACAAGCTGAGGGCCAAGCAGCAGGAGCTCAGGGCCCGGCTGGAGGCGCTGCGCAGCTAGTGGGGGGCCGGCACAAACCAAAATGAAGGGGGGGGGGGGATGGGAAACGCACAGACACACGTACCTCGACCTCCGGGGATCCACGGATCCGGACTGTGTATCCACACTGGTTCCCCAACGCCACAGACTGAATTCCTCCCGATTGATCGATCTGCTCACGCCTTTTTCTGCCGACTGTTTTTGGTTGTGTTTGGTGGTTTCTTTGTGTAGTCTTTTTTTTGTTTTGTTTGTTCCCTCCCTTTCTCGCGCCACATTTCGGGGATGCCAAACGGCCAAATGACCCGGAGCCACCGTAGCTCAGCGTTTAGCAGACGGAGTGAACTTGAACATTGTGTCTTACAGCCATATTTCCGAGCGGTTTTTCCTCGGAGTCGTTTGAGCTGCAGCCGGACGCCGGTTCACCGTGTGGGACGCAGCCGTATCGAACCTAGCTTTCAGCGCCGCCAAAGCCGGGACAAAAACCACTTCTCCTGACCGGTGTGGCTCCCACGCCACCACAGGCCGTCTGTTATTTATCGTCAGGAATTCTCCAACAGCAGGGATGTCTGTTCCATCGCTCAGTTTGTCTGTTCCGACGTTAAATGTCTCCATCATTCACAAATCTGTTACAGAAAACAGAGCTTCCTTGTTTGTTTTCTTTCTCTTCTCTGGCTAAATGGCCCCCCTCCATGATGTTGTAATACTCTGAAAATCAAGGCCACACATGAGTTTTCTTCTGTTTTTCTGGGGCCTGACTACAGAATGAATGAGAATCCTACACACAGTATGAAATAAAGCCGCTGATTCTGACCAACATTCCCCAGTTTTTCTAAGCAAAAAACCCCCCCCGCTGGTTTAGTGAGGCCTGGGGGGTCCCACCTGGTGTTGTGCTGGTAATAATGAAGCGCATACATGACTGAAAACCGCATGTGTGTAGCACAACGTCTTAACGTCTGGTTTAAGGGTTCTCCCTCCCGTTTTTTAGAGGATCGACCGGATCCTGGTTTTGTGGGAGGTGTTTGTTGTGATCACAAAAAGCCGTTTGGCCTCGAGATGCTTCATTTCATCGATTTTCGGCTGCTGTCTGGTTGAAATGGCTCCTCCTTCCGTAAGCGGGTAGTTTGACCCTTCGCTTCCCCTCCTGCTTCACTTCTTTTTGTAGATATTCAGCCTCAGAGTTGCCTTTGAAGATGTGGAGATTTTAACCAGACAGCAGCCTTCTTCTTGTCTAAATGAAACTTGGCAATCCTACCTCCACCTGACAGCAGTTGGGCATGTAAATGTTTGTTTTTGTTTTTTAATTGTACAGAGGTTATTGTATCATAAATTATTTTAGTCTTTTTTCGTTGTTGTTCATGGTTCCTTTTTTTGAGTTTAAAAGGACAGCACAGTTTTTTTTTCTTTTTTAAAAAGATATTGAAATAAAATTGAAAATGAGTCAAAAGTTTTGTTGTTTGAAATTAATTGGAACCGAGTTCCTTTGATCTCCGCATAAGTTAATAAAAGTGCTGCCCACTAACCTTTGAGCAGGTTTTCGGGCCTGGGAAGACCACCGTATGTGCATGACGGGCATCCAAAAATAGCCCTATTGGCTGATTTTTGACCACTGAAAGGGGATGTTTCTGTACTCCAGACTGTTGTTGGTTTACCACATAAGATACACAAATGGTTCCAAAACCTTGGCTTATAACTAGACCCAGAAGCTTTGGGCTGGTCCAGATGTGAGGATCCTAAATGTGATCTCAATGAGATTGGGCTGCTTGGATATAAATGGGTAACATAGAATGTCACACTACCGATTAGAAGAATCAAGATCCATTAGCAATTTCAACCTAGCTCTTACATAAAATCTTCTTTCGATTTACTTCTACTATTGAATTTGGGGTTATAGAGAGGGCCAGATCCATCACCAAAGGGTTGAGAGGCTTCATTTAGACTAACCTCATTTGTTTTTCAAGGCTTTGAGCAGCGGTTACAAATGTAAATCCACTGTAGGGAATGATAAAAACCTGTTTTTAAAAAAGTATGCAAATGGAAGAGGCTGCATCCGTCCTCCCATTGATCCCACAGACCCGATCCAAATTCAGGCCTCTCTCCAGGGAGGGTGGTGTGAGAATTCTGTCCATCCACAGGGCCGGACCAGGAGAAATCTATATTTCAGAAGGCTTGAGATGCTTACGTTACAGATTCAAAGTACAAAAGTGCTTTTTTTTTGTGGGTTGGAGCTGAGTGTCACCAAAATGAAAAACCTGTGGACTCCTGCCTCTGAAAGCCAGCTTTTGAGCTCTAAGCAGATAAGGACCTCCAGTACTTTTTACCTTCTGGCCTTTAAAGGTCAGTTAGGCAACTGGAGGTGGAGTTTTCTAGAAGTTTCCTCTCATCCAAGAGGCTCCGTCGCTTCTTTTGATGGTGGGGAGCATCCTCTTGGATCAGAGACCAAATGTTCTCCAGAAAACTTCCACGTTGTCCAGTTGCCTAGCTGGACCATGACCTGGATGACTGGGGATCTTCTCAGATCTTTTTACCTTCTGAAAAAGATCGTGCATGGGTTCTTTTAAACAGAATAGGCTTCCGGTTCTTGAGGAACATCTCCAACTCATCTATCGAGAGCAGAAAGATCAAGCATTGATACTTTCAAACAGAATAGGCTTCCAGTTCTTGAGGAACATCTCCAACTCACCTATTGATAGCAGAAATCCCTGGATTACAGTGTCCATGGGATCTGGTATCTGGTGAAAACCACAGAAGATAAAGAAAAGACGGCTTTCTGGACCTTTCTGTGCACATAAGGGATGTTATATAGAAGAGTGAGATGGGGCCAAATGTCATGCCGGCTTTCTCATCAAATCCAAATAGATTACAAATGAGGAAAGCGGGCGGATGTTGGAAAAGCCTTGGTTCTTCTTTTTTCTTTTTTTTGTGTGTGTGTTTGTTTTTTGCCGCAGCAGTAAAAAACGTGCCCCCCCGTGCGCACCTGTCACGCGTCCCTATCTCCCCACCATGGCGACGTGTAAAACCCCTCCCCGGGGCCAAAGTATTGGGCCGCACAGGTAGGGGTTGCGCAACCCCAGCCAGGGCCATGCGGGGCCCTGTGTGTGTGTGTGTGAGTGTGTGTGTGTG